AAATCATGGAGCTTCCTGGGCCAGGATTCAGCTTGGCAAATCTTACCTCAGAGACTGTAGTTCTTTAAGAGAGGCTGCCAACCATTTACTTAGTCACCCACAAATAACATCCTTGGGGTGGAAATCCCAGCTGCATACATTTTACTCTCCTCCCAGTGTTTCATTTTTTCCAAACTTTTTCCTTCCCTCTGTGTGGTTGCCCAGACCAATCCATGAGCTTATTGGCATGTTATGAAACATGGAAACAATTAGAGACCACATTCTAGGGCACAGGAATGACTTGCTAGAGAATCAATGAATGAGGCAGAACTCGAGAGGATTTGGCAAGTCATATGGAAACTATGGAGAAACCCACCAACAGGATCTTATATCACATTCTACAATGGCTTTGCAGTGATCTATATGTTTCAGGCAGCAATAATACTTTACTTTCCAACTCTGCAGCAAGGATTGTTTTTTATATTCTTTTTATCCTTCAGCTCATATAAAATATTCAGCTCATAGTTTTCTTTTCAGGGTTGATAACTGAATATATTCACCATGCAAATACTCTCAAATATTTCTTACCATGGAAAGCCAATTTCATTGATTTATTTTCATTTTTTTATCTTTAAGTAGTTGTATAAAAGAGTTGCATTTAACAAAGCAGTTTATGAATACAATTATTCTAAGTGGAGAATTCTTTCACTGTTGAGGGAGAGTGACCGAATTTGAAAATCAAAGAACATAAATTTTGAAATGACTGTAGTCAGTCCGAAGTCACTTTTAACACTAGTAAGGGCTTCTTCAGCCATTCAAAGACAGAGAACTTAAAGTTCTCTAAAGGCCTCTGAAATTTGTATTACCTGTTCTTCTTTTGAACTTAGCAGGCTTTTATTTCAGTGACCTGTCCTAAGTCAGGAAAGATTACAAACACTGATTTTTAAGCTCAGATCCGAATGAGAGAGTTAAGAGGGCTGGGACCAAACAGTAAGGTAGAAACGGAGGCTAGTTCTAAGTGACAACTTCCTTAGTACCATATGTAAACAATAAAGGGAGTGTGGAGGGAAGGAAAAAGTAAACCAAAAGGAAATGCGGTACTGAGAATGTATCATCTCTAGTGCCAATTATCACTACATGTCACAAAATCTACATTACTCATTATTTTCTTATTGTATTGATTCAAGATAGAATTGCAGTGAAAGTAGCAGCCAGAATGTCATATTATGGTTTATTTGCAGTTGGATTAACAAGTTTTTGGTGCCAGGTTCTGCATTCTGGAGACTATATCCTGGAGAAAAGTAAGTACAAAAGAACTCTGGTCTGAGATCCACTTTCTTCTTGACCAGACTTCATGGCTAGTCTGGACTCAGAATAATGGACAAAATTTATCATATGCAGGGGCTCTGTGAAGTTGCTTGGGATTTGGGAACGGAATCTACAGAGAAACAAGTTTAGTTCACTTGGGAACAAAAGTAGAATTGTTTTGAGGCCAATTGGAGGGGAAAGTGAACTTGTAAATTAGCCAACAACTTGTTAACAAAACAATATTTGAGAACTTGCCCCATTTATTATCTTAGTCAATACCCATATTAACCCAAAAGGGAAGAATATATTTTGAGGGGTTGTGGTATGTGCTTACTGGCATCTTTGTAGGCAGAATAAAGTGGAGTTCTGAGTGAAGACATTTGATTGCCAATCCTTCTATTTAGAACTATGTGTATTCTTGACTGTGCTTTTCTCCAATGGTGGTTATTTCCATTCATTCTAGTCATATGATGCTATTAACCTCACACTATTATTCCATTCCTTTCCTTCTCTATTTCTCACCTTAAATCTGTAGTCACCGGGTATTCTAATATACTTCTCATTCATACAAGTGTTGAGATGCACACTCAAGCACTCACACACACACACACACACACACACACACACACACACACACTTTTTCACATACCATGTGATGAATATTATTTTGAAGACCAGATCCTTAAAATAAATAATGACAATGCAAGAAGCATTAGCCCTTGAGGAGATGATTGGTTTAAACTACCTGGACTACCTTTCTTTATGAGGGAGACTCCAGGCAGCTCCTCAGTGGAGCCAGCCTAGTTCAAATGTCTGCTTTGAAGTTAGCGGCTGGGAATTGAGAATTCACTTGAGTATTCAGGTCAGCCCACAGAACCCACAACATTCCTGAAGTATGGAGCTATAGATTTCAGTAACAACTAACCACTATTTATGACACTATTTTTATAGTGAAATTCAATCCAAATTCTTGTTTGAGAATCCAGAAATGCTTTCCTCTTTCTTCTCGCTTCTCTGGGTAAAAAGAGCAATTGGACAAGGAAAAGGGCAAGGGAGGAGGGTGGAAATAAGGGAGGAAGAAAGACAAACAGATGCAATCATCTGAGACATAAAATGCTTTGTTAAATCTACCCATGACATGTGTACATTCTTACCAAGAATGGGGAACAAAGGGCTTTGGGACTGGGGTCAGCATTTATTTGTACCTTCAGCCTGACAAGGACTGAGGTTCCCCAACTGCCTATTGGCTAATGCAGGTCATCACAAGTTTGGATACAGGCTTCACCACCACAGAATAAAAATCACAGGACAGCATTTTAATTGGTCTCCTTAGGCCATTTAACAAAGGAGAAAGTGAACTTGAGAAAGCAAGGAGTAATTAATGAAGGAAGCAAACAAAGGTTCATTTAGTAACTTCCAAATAAGTTCTGCTGTGTGAGAAGGGGGTGGGGGAGGCAAGGTAGTCTGCAACAGAAAGATAAACTGCAGGTATTTAAGTCACAACGCCTCTGCCAAGAACTGTTCATTACCGTCAGATGTCGTAGTGGCAGTGGGGCCAGTTAGAACTAACTTTATTATTAGAAGCAATTAGGGAGAAAGGGGGCAGAATTTCATTTGGTTATTTCAAAAACAAGTTTCTGTGCAGTTTAATGAAGGCCTGCAGTGTCAAGATAAAAATGTGTGTTTTACTGAAAACAGCCTTTGCAAATGACTGCTTGTTACCAGCTGGTATCTTTAGGCAAAGCAGACCGGGTAGGTTGGATTTACATACATGCCGTAATATAATAGTTCAGCTGTCTCTGCTTCATAGAGAGTGTTAGCAGGCTAGGGAAGCACCTGTGTTCTGGAGCCAGACTGTCTATCTTCAATTCCTATCTCTGACCTTGGTAAACTGAATGACCTCAAATGACCTTCTGCAACTTTCTGGGTCTTGGTGTACATACACCAAGTGAAGATCACAGTCACTGTTATATCTGAGGTTTATTGGGATCCAGGAACATAGTGAAAGAAAGTGCTTGCTATACAAATCAATGATGGACTTATTTATACCCTTTGACAGGGGTTTGAACACAAACTATGAAACAAAGGTTTGTCTTCAGAGTCATCAGTGTTGTCTTATGACCTCATGTTAGACAGTGTTTTACCATCGGTACAGAATTCACACAGGTGAAAACTCTCATTGATTTACTGACCCAGCTGCATGGCACACCATTTCATTTTCCACCTGTGTAGGAGCTTTTACTCTCTTCCCTTTTGTTAGCCTTTTCCTTATAAAGCCTCTGAGCAGCCTTTGCGCTTCCTCACACATATATCTGGGCCAAGAGGCACTACTAGTATTGAGCTTAGAGGAACACTTCAGGATCTCAGAGCTCCTAAGTGAAGAACCGGGTCTTGGCTTCTTTCTCCCTCTCCTTGTTGAGACCATTGTGAAATACACTCTTACTGTGACCTCAAACCCCACTTTGAATGAGCCTATACTTTAGTGACAGACTGTGCCACTAGTTGGTTTCATACCCAAGGTTAAAGATTGATTTTTATCCCATGCTTACAAAACTTGCCCACATACTGAGAAATAAGGCACACTACTTAGGCATTACGTTTTAGTTTTCCATATCAAGAGCATTTTATCAATATGCCATGCACCATAATATTAGACCCATATGACGAATAAAACTCCTTCCTTAAGAAGCAATGACTTGCCATTGAAATCTATTCCTTTCCAGAGAAATGTAAACTAGTGAAATGTCCTCTACACATTTAAGTTTTAAGCCACATCATTTTTTTTCTGGCAGCCCTAAATTAATTTATGTTAATTTTAATAATTTGAACTAACATCCTCTATTATACAATTTTAGATCTTAAACTGCAGATTGTAAGAAAGAAAATGGTGAAAAGCCCATATTGAAGGGAATTTTCCCCCAAATTCTCAGATTCTTGTTCAATGTGAAGTTTAAGAAAAGGTTCAAGTTACTATTTATTTTCTCAAACCATGTCCTTGAATACTACTGACTTTTCCTGACAACTTTCCTAATGTGGGAAAATTTCCTTTTTGAAAGGACTCAGAATTTTTACATTTGGGTTTTTTTTTTTTTGAGACATTGTATTGCTATGTAATACAAACTGGCCTTGAATTTGCAATTCTCCTGTCTTGCTAAATGATGAGATTACATGCAAGCACCACTAACAAGCCATACTTTATAGAGGTGTTTTTGTTGTTTGTTTTGTTTTAGTTCAGGGTTTGAAAATAAGACTACCTTGCTTGCTAGGCAGCTGCTCTACCACATAAGCCGCACACAACCCAGTCCATTCTGCTTTAGTTGTTCTACTTGAATCTTGCATTTTATTTTGCCCAGGGTCAACCTCAGATCACAATCCTGTTACCTATACCTGACCTTACTCAGCTGAGTGGTTGGAATAGGATCTTGTGAACTTTTTCCTAGGCTGATCTTGAATTAGATCCTCTCTTATCGCTGTCCTCTGTCCCCTGGGAGGCATCCACAGGCATTTTATATGCATATATCTTCACTGCACTCACCCCTCCCAGAAGGGTATTAAAAAATGTTTTCATCAGAATTGTTGCTGTTCAGTACAATTAGTGTACAATTAGTGTACATAAAATAAAATTAGAGACTGGTGACATTCTGAAAAGAATACAATAGACAGCACAAAGACTCTATGGAAAAATATTTGAAGGGATGGATACTTATTCTCACCCTGGATCTTTCTTCTAATTTTGTCATCATGACAATCGTGGCACTCCGTTGCTCCCATATCATTCTCCAAAAGTCCCCAAATGTTTCAGGAAGAGATCCCTGTGTTGCAATATAAGCATTTTGCTTCCTGTAGCCATCTATGTAGTTGGCATTCACGTAGTCACTTCCTGGGATGCCTGTAACACAAGGAGTATTATTGAAGTAGGTGGACATATAACAAGAGGAAACAGTTTGGCTATGGCCTAATGCCAATGCTCTGATATTATTCCACACTCTTGTGGAATTTAGAGTCACATTCACATGAGTCACACTATACCGAGGTTTGGATTTTAAACAAGATTAAGAATAGGTCTTACAAGGATCATCTTGTTAAAAAAATGCCACATTCAAAATGTCAAGTCTTTACAATATGATAAGGTAGATTATCAAAAAATGGAAAATACAACAGATGGTTCATAGCATGCCTTTTCTCTCACGGGTCCTCTGTTTTCCCTGTTGCATGAGAAAAAAAATTGTTTGTGAAGGAATAATTCTGGTGACATTCCTCACTCATGTTCTTGCCCATTTCCAGACCAAAAGCAAATAAATGCCCAACTCTGAAAATGTTATATAAAATAGGGTATGCCATAGTTATAATTAACTGAAGATTTAGCTATCAGGTAACATACATATCAACTCTTTTTATTCATCACAACACAGCCATGTGAAAGTCTTGTATTGATTATCCTTTCCCAAAAGAAGCATCAGGTGAAGAGGCAGGAAAAAGAACTTGTTTAGTTCAGTTGCCTAAATTGGTGAGGTTGGGTTTAATCCTAGGCACTCTGTCCGCTTGCTTCATCTCTGTCTTATTCTCTGTAGAGTATTGCTTCCCACTGAAACTCCATGGGTTGCTATAAGTAGCCTATGTACTTCTTTCTGGATTATAAAAATTGTTCTCTACCCACTGTCTCACTTCTATTTTGTCTTCTGTAGCCTTCTCTCCATCCATTTCAGAGACTGTAACTTCATTTCTTTGAACCTAGCAATAGCTTTCTGTCACACTTCAAATAAGACCCAAACTCTAAACAGCATTAAGCTTACAAGGCTTAGTATTTCTCTAGACTCATTCTAGCTTCTATCCTGTAGAGACTGACCTGCTCCCATTAGAAAACATGGCTATTCTAGTTAGAAACACTTCCATTCCTGAACACACTCTGTCTTTTTTCCACCATAAAACACTCACATCTATCCTGATCATGTGGGAAGCCTTGACAGCCCTTTATACTACTTTTATGAGCGGTAATAATATCATTTGCTATTGCTTATCTTGCTTATTGTCTGATTTGAAATGTCTTTTATTCATGTTTTCTAATTCTCCTGACAAAAGGAATAATTTTCCAACATTTAGTAAATAGGAGAGCTCTATTTCTGATTTAAAGCTTAATTTTCCTCTATCTTAATTCCTTTAAGAGCTAGATAAGTAAATTGAGCTTCTTTTAGGGAAGAGAGGCAGAGTGATTGAGGAAATCAAAGCTGTTCAATATGAGAAAGGGACTACATATAAAAGTAACAAAGGAAGATTAGAAGTTGGGGATGAGAGCTGCCCTTAGAGTATGTGAAGATTTATCTTTTCAATTCTGAAGGATTTAAATACAGAGGGAAGAATTCCATTTCTAATTCAAAGAGGCATTCAAATGGTCAGAATAAAACAAACAAACAAAAAAAAGAATAGGTGTTCTTGGAAGGTGATGAGCAATGTGTCCCTAAGGGAAAACAACTACTTTGTAGGGCTAGCAGAGTTTTATGGATGGAAGCACCAGGCCTTTTTTTTACAATCTCTTCTAGCTCTGGGGAAATATGTGTTCTAGAATTAGAGGAAGGGTTTTTTGTTTTGTTTTGTTTTGTTTTTTTGCTATAACAGAACATATGTTCCCAAGCTAAGATTGTTATATTTCACCAATTGCCAGTTACAATTACTTTGACTGCTTTTCTGATTCCAGTTACAAAACTGATCTTCTCAAGAAGAGTAATGGAAGTCAGATGGAACTACTGTGCTTTGAGATGCGTGCCACCAACATTTGCTGAAAAGCTTTCTGAGCAGAAACTGAAATGTGAGGTTGCTTGTAACATTAGTCATCTATTGCAGCTACTCAAGAAGCAGTGGGGCTTCTGGCAGCCCTTTGTTGATAAAGATCTTGTTCTTCCCTGATACCAAATTACTGTGAATTCAGAGGGCAATTTAAATAAAATCCTCTGGTGGCAGCCCCTCAGAAGGGTACAAGGGTACAAGTCTCTCCCTGGGATTGATTCTGAACCTAGAATGGGCCCATTATATAAAAAAAACAATGGGAAAAGCCCATTTTCCGTATTTTAATTTAGTAGTTAACAACATTAAATAATTCATTAATTTTTTTCTTTTTTTATTGTGAAAATGCTGTACAGAGGTGTTACAATTACATGAGCAAGGTAATGAGTACATTTCTTATCAAGCATTGTTGCCTCCTCCTTTGTTTCCCCTTCCCATCTTCCCCCCCCCTCCTCCCCCCCTCCCTGCCCCCCACTCCCAAAGTTTCTCACTAAGGATCTCATTCAGCAGCAGATACACAGAAAACTGTCCAAGAAAATTCAGAATGGAGAAATCTGAGTGAAATGATTTTTTTTAATGCATCAACAGGGCACAGTGCCATTTTCCTCCTTATCAAGGGTAACAAAGTTGTCTGTACAATGCATTTGGGGACAAGGAAGTGGTGAACTGATTTTAAGGGAACAGAATCAGACCCATCCAATCCACTTTACATATTTTTAACAGTCATTGTGTAATGAATTGGGTTCTTAGAGATACTGCTACTCAAATTTGAATATAAAAATTTGGGGAGTGGAGATGAATTGCTACTGAAAAATGGTGGCACTTCCTAGGATATAAAGATAAAAATTCTGCCTAGAGACTACTAGGCACTTGGGAAAAAATTACTACCTCATCAAATGCTTTAAGAATTTAGGCCTTGATATATTGAAGAAAAAAAAAGGAAATTGGAAACAAGAATTTAGTACCCATGGGAGCTAATTTCTAGACTAATATTTACATCCTGAAAATAATAACACAAATGTTGAGGTTTTGTTTCTACTTTGACACTTGTCTATGGGTTTTACCTATACTCATAGTGAAAGCCTCCCTCTAGCCAGATCCTTTATGGCTGGGGCAGAAGGACAGAACAGGCAACTCTCCCACAATCTTTAGCAACTTTCCACAATCCTTAACAATGTGGAAATGTTGAGAGATGCTAAGTTCTACAGAAGCTCTAAGATCTCTTGAGTTCTGTATCCAATAACTTCATAAAACCAGCTCTAGGGAAAGATGAATGAGAAAAATTTAGAAAGGGTGATGGCTTGTCCTTCAAAAAAAAATCAGCCCAAGATTGGATGCTAAACTTAAACAGCAGTCTGTTTCAAATTGATGAAATCCCAGTTTGCAAAGTGACATATTTAGAAAAGTTTGTCAACTAATCCTGTGAAAATATGCAATATGCTGAATTCCTGAATGCTTAAGTGCTATGAAGAAATGCTTCCTCAGGAACTCTTCATTGGAATTTCTCAGGTCTAGGAGGTTAAATCTACAAAATTTTGATTTTGTGGATAACCTTATCAGTGTAATGCATGTTTGTTTATTTAATTTTCAGCTCCCTGTTTTATCCAAACAGTGGCTTGCATTTGTTAAAGTGACACTAAACGTGTCAGAGTCAATTGGATTGCCTTAGGATTCTGATGATGGAAATCTGACATAAAATCTAGGACAAAGTATGCATAGTTAAGATCAATTAATTTCTTTCTTTAGTTCTTAGGGCCCAAAAGACCTCATTTCAATTCTCTAATAACAGTGATCAGGTCAAGTTTTTCCTTTGTTATGTTTATGTTTCATTTTTGGCAGGGGGAGACATTACTAAAATAATAGAAATGTGACAAAGACGCTCGTAATTGGCATGGGCTAGTAATTGGCATACTCTTAAGACATTGGCCCTGCTGTCAGAATTGTGTCTTTAAGTCAGTTATTCTTCATACTATTCAGGAAAAACAGTGGCTCTTTCCCAATTTACTCCATTTATAAAAATGAGGTTTTCATGATTTCCCATGTATTGTTTCACGGATATTCTCCAGTCAATAACAGCCATGGAAATGGTTCCAACACCAAAAATAGTTGGTTCTTCTTAAAGTCTTACACATGACAATCCTGATCTAGTTTTCAACTGCATATCACACAACATGCTCCATTCTCGTGTCTCAGCTTGTATCATCACTTAACGAACTATGCTTATTTGAAACACTGAAAATCATTATTTCATGCTCAAGACTGAGTCTTTGTGTTTGGAGCTCACTAGTCTGGGAGAGTAAACTCAAGCCACAAAAGAAAGAGAGATTGTGATAAGGTGAATTAATGGCAGAGCTTTCTCTGTTCTTCAGGTACAGCAGGCTATGCCAAACAACTGTTTAGGCAATATTCAGTGAGTTGTACATGCTCTTTCCATTTGCTATAAGCTACTAGTCAGAGTTTTCTCAGCAGAATAATAAGCCTTAGAATGGACTCTGGACTCAGCCATTCACTTAATTGGTCCAGAAGGTTTTTGGGAGGCTACTGTGGGTTTAAATGCAAGGGCAGCATCCATTTTCCTCATCTAAGTTTGAACTGCAGAATTCAGGGCTTCCAAACATTGCTTGTGGGTATGCATGTATCAGTAGGAGGGGAAATCCTGGAAAGGTGAAACTATTCCATTCGAAAGAATGCTTGTGATGAATGACTAATTATCGAGGAATGCTTTTTGAGGAATGCTTGAAAACAGGATACAATGTCCAGGAATGTACTATCGGAACTGTTTAGTCATGGCAACATTAAAAGTAAGGTATTTTTCCCCACTGATTTGAGGAAGGCTTGGATGAAGCTTTCTTCTAAGCAACAATATTAACAATAAGAACACTCAATTTACTGTGGAATAAACATTTTGGTCACATGATAATCTGACCCCCTAAAGATTCCCTTACTCTTTGTGATAATGAAAAGTCTATATTAAATCCTGCCTTGATGTTAGCAGGACCCTGAGTAGTAGATAAATTATTTTGTAATTGTGAAAAAATTAAGGACAAGAGAGAGGCTCACACTTGGTATTACAGCGTGTATGTAGGGAAAATCACCTGTGAATTTTAGTGT